GTACAATAGAAAATATTAGAGCTGATTTCTAATAACAAGGCCAAGTATGGTGTCACCAAATGTTTGCTTCCATTGCAGGTGTGAATGTGCCCTAGCTCCCAGATATATATTTCTAACATATTTCTTCCTTGGGTTACAATTATAAATGTTCGTAAAACATCCATTAAGATGGCTGGTTGCTCCAAAATCTGCAGTGTTAGCCTGGGTCTTCCTCTCTTGCAATTTCAGTCTCTTTCCCAACCAAGTGCTGGACAGCTCCACATGGAGAACCTTCGGGTCTGAAGCAGATCCAGATTCAAAAGGTTAACCTCTTTGCTGCAGAAATGTTCCTCATATATTCCCTACTTTGTGCTTTGTACTTTGGCCCTGGCTGCCTCACCCTGCGCCCAGAGTCACATGCTCTAATACCCCCACTGTATAGTATCACTCAGCTCTCCCTGTACTTTCCAATCCTTGCTCAAGATGCACTTCATCCTCTTTTCTTCATCATGTGCCCTGGTAGCACAGTGGAATATGCACTGGACTGGTAACTGCAAGGTCAGCAATTAGAGTCCAGCAGGCTCGCCATGGGAGAAAGATGAGGCTTTCTGCTCTGTAAAGATTTACAGCCTCAGAAACCCTACACAGGGTCTCTGTGAGTCAGAATTGACTACAGGACACACCATCACCATACCAATAGGTCATTGCTTTTCTCCTAAAACTCCTTTCAATCACCCCCATGTACCTTGAAGCCATTCTCCTTCATTATGGTTCCCCGTCATCCTTAAAGTCCCTTGTCTATACCTCCAGGGGTGGCTCATACATGAGTTGGGTGCCCTCATATCTTTCCCATTAGACTGTAAGTTCCCCAGGGACTCGAGGATGTGTCTGTCTTGAACAACACAAAGTAAATCTTCAGGAAGTTCTTGTTCAATCAGGAACTAATATGAAGAAGCCAAAAGCATCAAGAACAAATGGCACACCTTTGTTTATTGTCTTTCCTCCTACTCTACATGATATGTGCTCTCTCCAACAGAGATACTGAGCCCACCAGCCATCAACAATGTTATACCATTTCCCCTCTTGACAACTGTTTGCAAGATGGGCCCATAGTTCAGTCTACTTCAAAAGGATCTTCCCAGAAATGGCAGAACATGGGGAAAGGGTCCAAAGAAATGGATTCACATTGACCCACACCCCCTATTTCATTCTGGGATGAACTGTCCCTAAATTCTCTCTCAAATATCCTGCCATCTAGGTGCTCTCAAGCTCTTTGTGGGGTGGTAAATAACAGAGGCCTTGCTGAAGACATCAAACCAGCTCCCCACAGACACAAAGAATGGTTGCCTTAAGGAATCTCCTAGCCCTACAGTGGATCCCCATATCAGGTTCTCTTCACCTCTGACTGGACTATGACAACAGCTTCCAGTCTTTAGCCCTCCCTGTCCTGGATCCCAATAACCCTCCTTATTAAATGGCTTTTGTCATGCCACTACCTTCCCCAAGGACCAAAGGAAGCTCCCATTGGCCTAATGCACCAAGTTCTAACTGCTCTTTCTCACCTTTAAGTCACTTCACTGAAACCACTGATCCTCTGATATCTATTTAATCTGTCTCTTAACCATGTGTCATCCGATTCCCATCCCCACACACAACACACATGCACACACATCACTCTGAATCATTGACTCAGTAGCCAATATTTACCAAGAATACTACGTGCCAAGCACCATATCTGGAACTCAGGGTGAAACTGGGAATAAAACAGCAGATCTCTTCCTTGTAGAACTTTCTCAAACTCAGAATTATGGACATTTTGGGTTGGGTACTATTTTGTCATAGGGGCAGACCTGTACACTGAAGACAGTTGGCAGCATCCCTGGCCTCTACCCACTAGATATCAGTAATATTCTTGTCACATAGTTGTGACAACCAAATATGTGTCCAGACATTGCTTAAGAGACAATAACCACTTGTCCAGAGCAGCAGTTCTTAAACTTATTAGGCCTTTAGAAATCACCTGGGGAGTTTGTTAAAAAGACAGCTTATTGGATCCCATCCTGGGAAAACTGGATTCAGGTCGCCAGAAATTTGTATTTTTAGTTGTCCTCCAGGAAATTCTGATGCAGGCTGTCCCAGAACCTCTGCTTGAGAGTTACTCATCTAGTGTTTTTACAAAAGAGATAATCCAATAATTACATACAAGCAGGGCTTCAAACCAGTTTAAATCATTTCAGTTATGGCTGATGCAACAAAATTGGTACAGATCCATATTTGTAAAATGTCAGTGTACAGGAAATGATAACCAGACCGGAAAATGACAGATCAAAAAAGCCTTAGAATGGGAGATTCAGAAGAGGCATAGTGAGCCCTTTCAGGAGTCTGCTATAGGAGACTGGATGGTCACGATGCTGTAGAGAGCAATACACATTCAAAGCAGCACACTTAGTTGGCTGCCATCTTTGAGCTGGGTACTTTTGTTTCCAACTCTACTGATCAAGAGATTTAGTTGCCTTGCAACACACTCTCTGCTCTTGTTTTCTAGGAAGAAGATTGAGTTTCTAGCAGAGCATCAACCCATCTTTTTTCCCATTCTGGTTACTGTTCCAGTACACCTACATTTTATAAATAGATTTGTTCCAGTTTCTCTATGTCAACCATGATTGAACAGGGAAGAACCAGTACAAAGCATACAAGTCAGCTTATGGTAATTACAATTTGTGCAAGAAACAAGACAAGTGGGCAGGTGCAATGGGTGCACAGATGTGGCAGCTACAACCCGGTGTGGGGTCAGGGAGCCCTCCATGAAGAATTAATCAATAACTAAATTAAGCTCTGCTACAGTAGTGGTTATGAATCGGGCTGCTATCCTCAGAGTCAGCAGTTAGAAACTACCAGCTCTTCCGCTGGGGAAAGAGGAGGCTTTCTGCTCCCATGAAGATTTACAGCTTCAGAAACCCTGTACGGAGTCGGTCTGAGTCGGAACCAACTCCACAGCACATAACAACAACAAATTAAGTGATGCAGGTTGAGTGGGTGGGCAGGGGTCAGGCTGTGGGCAAGTAAATCACACCTGTATCTCTGCACCTCTGCTCCCATGGTCTTTGATTCTGAATGTGCACTTCACCTCCACCTAGCCATATGGTACCCTTGCTTCAAGTCCCACTCAAGTTCCACCTCCTCAGGCAGTCGCCCCTACCTACTCCAGCCCATCAGTATCTTCCTTCTCGGAAAGGTTATTATCTACTTCCTTTCTCGTTTGTAATTTCAAGCTCCCTGTGCACAAAGACCACACCATCTTCTGTACCCTTCTCTACAACACCCTTCCAGGATGGGCAATGTCCAACACCTGCTTGCTTGACTGGATTAACACAAGCCCCGGAAGTAAGGCCTGCAAGTGGCCTCAATGGATTTAGCGGACCAAGGACATCTGTGTGAGGGAGGCCTGGAGTCAGACTGGTCCATCCACCCAACATCAGAGAGGTCTTGCCAAGAAGAGCCATTAGTAGTTGAGTTGGCCGTTGTCCTGAGCACTGATACTCTCCCCTGTTTACTAGACAAAAGGGCTCCTGCAGCCCCAGCAGCTCTGGGTAAGTGCCAGCAGGGGGCAGGCACCCAGAGCTGCCCTGCTGACAAGCAAGTGCCAAGGCAGTAGTAGCAGGCGGGCTGCCCGTAGGGCCCGCCCAGCTGTCCTTGCACAGGGTCAGTGTGCAGCTGGCAGTAACCAAAGGAGTGGGCAGACAAGATGCAACAAGCCAGGAGACTGTGTAAATGTCTGCAGCCACAGTCAGCCAGGGAAGAGCCCTTTCTGGGTAGGTCAGGGACAACCTGCTGTTTGTGTGGGGGGTGGGGGGAGGGGGGGAGGAGTTACCTGGGGGTGGAACTATTCTATTCTAACCACTCAATTTCCTACCCTGAACCCAACCAGCAGCCATCCTCATCCTCTCACTCCTGAACGTGTCCCAGACTGGGGGCACAAGTGACTGATGTGGCACCTCACAGATAAAAAAATGAACTGTTTCATTGTGCATTCGTTTAGAGGGTTTTTTAATTTTTATTCCTATCAGCCTGGGGGGAGGGGTGGTGATCCTGGGGAAACGTTGGCAGCAAAGGCAACAGCCTCAGTAAAAGAGGGGAGGTCTCTCCAAGAGAGGCTCTGACGTGGGAGAATGAGAAGGCAGCCTCCCTCCAGCTCTAACATCCAGCGGTGACCTGAAGCGTGTCCACTCAGGCTGATAAGCAAGCGGCTGGCATGCCAGTGTATTTTCCACTCACACGAGGGCTGAGGCTGCGCCTGAGTTTCAGAGTGACCTCCTACTGGTCTTTCTCTTAATGGAGTTTTCTACTGATCTGGAAGGGGTACCCACCAAAGGAAGAGACACCCACCGTGGGGAGGGCTAACTTCTGCCGCAGCTCTGACCTTCCTGCCCAAAGAGGACCATTTGCCTCAGCAGGGAGCAGGTTGTGAGCCTCTGAATCAAAGGCTACGGGATTATAAGAATTCACCATCCTTCTCGCATCTTCCCAAACCACTACCACCCCACCGCACCCGACTCTCCTGGGTAGGGAGCTTTGTCCCCCAAGGGTGTCCACAAAAGTTCAGGGCTCCCGAGGTGATTCTATCCGGCTTGGAGCCCTCCACCTCCGGGAACCTCCCCTCCCACCAAATGGTCATGAAACTCTAGGTTTGGGGGACATCGATCCCTGACCCGCGTGACTGCTCCTGATAATCACAGGATGTATCATCAGCTTGGCTGCTCCGAATTCCTACCTGCTCCCCATTTTTCACAGCGGATAAAGTTGTCTGGCCCCTCGGACAGGCGCTGGGCAGACGCTCTCCTCCGGCTTAGGGCAGAGATGCGCTTCGAAGCACTGTGACCCCAGCCTGATGCGGCTATACCTGGGTCCAAGTGCAGACCCCATAGCTACTTCCCCCGAAGACACTCGAGCCAACTAGGCGGCCGCCACCCGGGACTCACCCGCGGACCCTGCGCACCCCCAACCCGCTCGGACTTTCTTACCTCTTGATGTAGTTCCTGCCATACAGGATCTGTTGCAGCAAGGTCACCAACGCGAAAGCGCAGATGAAGATGAAAAGCAAAGTTCGGTTCCCTAGTAGATCCCGGTTGGCGGAGGGGTCGGCGTAGCGCATCCTGGCGGCGGTGCGCACGCGGTGAGGCGCGGCGGACGCGGGGCGCAGGCGGGCCCGGCAGTCACGCGCGGGATTCTGGGGGCCAGTGGAGTGCGCGTCCGAGCCCGCGCCTCAAGACGTGACCAGGCGGCCAGGGGACTTCGCAGGGCAAGTTTCTGGCTGATGCGTCCAGAGCAGGGGCATCCGAGCGTCCCAGCCCAGGCGGAGAGCAGCGCAGAGCAGGTACTGGTTCCTCGGCCGTGATCCGGGCTTCTCTCTGGATGCCTCACTTCCTAGCGCCCGGGCCAACAGTCGCCGATTTCCTCACGGAGGGACGACGCCAGGTGTCCCGCGCTGGGTGCAGCCCCTCCCGCCGAGGCGGCAACCAATAGGAACCGGGCCACGGCGCCGACAACGGGGGCGCCCGAGCGCGCTGCGCACAGCCCCCTCGGCCGGTCTCCTGATCGCGGTGTATGGAGCGCGGTGTCCTTCTTGCCCGGGTTGGCCACGTCCGATCCCCCGGCCTGCAACGACGGAGCGCGAAGGTTGGCCTGGAGCGTTGTTAGGGAGGGGGGACCAGAGCCCCCGGACAATCTGGTTAATGACAGGAGGGCGGGGGAGAGAGAAGAGGAGGATCGGAAAACACCGGGTTTGGGAAGCTGGATCTGCGGAGCCAGGCTCGCTGGCGAGAAAACATTTGCATGCGGCGCGCAGGGCACTGAGTCACCGCCGCGGCCGCGTCCTCTAGCTCTCCTGACGATTTCTCCGGAGAAAGCGGAGCAAGGTCAGCCGGGCAGCCCTCAAGGACAGCGCGCTCGGCGCCCGCGTGCTGATGGCCTGTGGGTCTGCTCGCCTGCGCCCTGGGCGCCCCACGCCTTCAGGAAAGAAATTCAGGGACTGTCCGCCCCTCCACGGCTGCCGCGCGCGGTCGTCAAAGAATCTATTGTCACTGAGACACCAGAACCTCGTCTCATCTTTGGAACCACTCGTAAATCCTAGGTCAGGCAGCCGATCACCTTCGGGTAACAGGGTCCCCAAAAGCCATTTGTAAATCACTAAGTCAGAAAAGCGTGCTTTAGAGAACACGCGGGGGCTGGGGAGGGGGGACTGGGTAGAAAATAAACAGAAATGCAATGCGAACGTCGTGCCTTTGCAGAAAGCCTTCTCTCCAAATACGACCCCCGCGCGCTGGGCCACAACCCAGTCATCCTAACACCCTAACACCGCAGTCTCCGGATGTCTCGGGTCACGTGCCCGCGGCGGGATAATTCCAGGGCGTCCCTTACAGGGCCCTCTGCCACTCCAGTGGGTTCCAGAATTAGACCGAAGATTCATTTCAACTCAAAACGTGACCAAAACTCAATCAGCAGCGAGAAAGAAAAA